CAGATGGCACTAATAACAATTTTAGTCTGAAAAGATTTTTTAAAAATTAAAATTCCACATGATAGAGAAGAGCACGATATTTTTGAATAGCATAAACAGTATCTAGAACAAGAAATGGAATCCAAGAGTTGATTTACATTGGTTTTTTTGTGGCCCAATGATGAGCTTATTGAACTTAAAGACTGAAAGATTGAAAACCATAATATGTCACTAACTGTGCTCCACATTTTGAGATTCGGGACATTATAACTGTGACAGTCAATCCCAACATTTGAGTAAAAGTATCCGTAGAAAATATGGGTGCTGCAAACAGATTGCCCTCCGTCTGATCAGCAGTTCTAAATTTCAGATGGCTATGCCTGAACTGTGGGGGTTTCTAACCTAATCATTTAGCCTATGTGCTGTACAAATTTCCATTCAGATTGAAAATATCAAAAATTTTCCACCTTCTTTTTCATAACTCTAAGTTCTATTTTATTTCTACTTCCAGTTGAAACTTGTTTTGTGATCACAGGCCCATAGATGAAAAGATGTGAATTTTCTCAAATTTGAAATTAATAAGCTTAATTTAGCAGCTTTTCTTTACTGTTAAGTAATACTAAAATAGCCTCAGCAGTTGTTTTTATAAAGTTTCTGAAATTTTTTTGTCTCCGTTCATAAGTTTGTGTTAAAATATGGTTGGTTCTATAACTTTTTGCACATATATATATGTATGCCTGACAAAAGTAATGAAGTTTTTAACTGTCGAGGTGGACACTCTGTACCAGTGGTCAAATTAAGTACAAACATCAATAAATAGATGTCTAATACTTGAAAATTTAGAGAAGTGTGTATGCAGAGTTTTATCACATTCTCATCTCCTTTGGTGATGTATTCATTTTCTTAACATTTAAAGTATTTTTGAGAATATTAAGTAGAACTTGGAGTAAGTGGCTCCTGATGAAAATGTCACGTAACAATAGAACATGAAATTATTAAAATTTTAATACTTAAATAAATGAATGACTTAATCACTGATATTAATATCATTAGAAAAGAGTATTGTAGTATATCAAACCATAGCATTACAAAGTATTGAAATAGTAGGATTCACTGCAAGTCTAGGGTGCTGAAAGTACTCTGAAGGTTTGGTAAGTTTATCACAATGTGAAAGATTTATCATCAGTTTAAGTTTTGGATATCTTTATCTCGGCACAGTGTGTGCGTATGATGAAAAATGTCTTATTTCTTTAGCATCTAAAAATATGTTGCTGCCCAAATCTTACCATTTTTATGGGGCACAGCAGTTTTGTTATAAAGAATTCACAGTTGGATGACATATCAAACATGTTATAGGAGTAAAATCATTCAGCAAATAGCATGCAAAATCCACGTTTTTCTCATGCTGACTTATCAAATGTACTTTGTAATTTCATAATCTTGAAATAATAATGAATTATCCATGAAAAGCACCTTTATAAAGTATTTAGTAAGATAATAAGAGTAGCTACTCACTGAAAGTTTATTTGTATTTTACAAGAATTATATTACCAGTACAAATATTGTTGATTTAGTTTTTGTGTTCACCAAATTAAATGTATAACTAATTATATAGTGTGAAGTACATCAGTGAGAGAGTTTGTTGTGAGCTCTGCACTCTTAATTAAATTCATTAATGTTAACAAAAAAAACAAACTTATTTCATTAAATGAGCAAATAAAGAATTTCTCCCTTCTTCTTTGGTCCCCCAGTGAGTCAGTGGTAAGTTTACGGACTTACAGTGCTAAAACCTGGGTTCACTTCGTCATTTTGAACAAAGCTCAGATAGCCTATTGTGTAGCTTTGTGCTAAAAAAAAAACTCGGTCTCTCTTTGATTTAATATTTCAAATGTGTGATAAAAATTAAATATTACTTTTGTACGTAATTATCATTATAATTATACTAATCATGTGGCTGACTGTAGAGAAAAAAATACATATCATTCTATTTAGACAAGTTTTAACATATTTTGTCTTTCATAAAGTATGAAAATTAAACTTGTATACTCATTATAAATGAGAGAAAAGAGGAAATAGGTATTTTTAACTTTAATGTTTCATTGTTATTAAATGACCTTAGAAAAGTGTTAGTTTTGGATGTCATTCCAATTAATGGCATTTTCTTTCCTTTTTTTGATGATATTATACTATTGTGTCTATAAGTGACTGAAATTAATCTACTTTGGCGATCTATAATGACACTTACAGAACTTATTTATAACCATAGTCCGTGTATAAATGATTCTATGCAGTTGGCTTTCAGTGTGGATAAATAGAATAAGAATCCTTTTTGCTAGATTCATATAAATAGAAAATACAATATAACTGTGTAATTGATTGTCTTCTTGGGTAAACTCAGGAAATGTGTGTTTTGAAAGGTTGCAGCTTTCTACTTAAGTAACCAAGTGATCTTGTTAAACTGGATCATAGCTACCATATAAGTAGGAATGAGTTTGGATTATAGTTACCATATAAGTAGGAATGAGTTTGGATCATAGCTACCATATAAGTAGGAATGAGTTTGGATCATAGCTACCATATAAGTAGGAATGAGTTTTGAGAAACAGCATTTTAATAGGCATACACTCTTTTAGATCCTAATGTAAGTTAGCATATCCATGTGGTTAAACATGAACTTGATTTAAGATATTTTTAGTCTGCTTGGCAAGGAACAACTGATGTCAATACTTGTGTAATAGTATGTCTGAGATTATGAATACTTTGAGCATGCTAACTAAACATAATTTTTTTCATTAACAATAAATATTGCCGGATGAAAATTGTCCAGATCTAACTATGTTACTTTCTTCATGTGTATTTTGATTTTATGTTGTGGAGGAAATAAAAACTGGTGGAGCATAATATTTTGTTAAGAATATATCTGTTTCACTGACTCTGGTTCACTGCAAATGATAGAACTTTTTTCTTTGGTTAACTCTTTTTTCCAGTGGTTGGCATGCCGTGGTTAACTCTTTTCAGTGGTTGGCATGCCGGGCTGTGAATCTGAGGGTTCGGAGTTTGCATCTCATTGCTGCAACAACCACTTGCTCTAGATTATGGGGCTGTGGATGTATTATAAGAGTAGCAGTCCAGTCCTACTATTTGGTTAGAATAACTCAATAATTTGTGGTATGTGCTGTTGACTAGTTTCTTTCCTTTTAGTCTATTGCTTCAAAATCAGGTACAGCCGGTGTGGATAGCCTTTATGTAGCTTTGAGCAAATATCCAAAACAAAAACATCCTTTGAAAATTATTTTAAGTTTTTTTTTTCTATTTCTGTTTCAAAGACTCAGAATTTTCTACAAGACAAAAAGTGGGAAAACGTGGCAGTTTGAGAATTCATTACAAATCTAAGAGTTTATCAGATGTTTGAAATTCAGAATTCACTACAAGCTTTAATTATTTATTAGTTTTCATTTGGAAATTCTGTATATACAAACAGATTAGAACAGAATATAGGTTTTTAATTATTTTTTTTTTCAGTACAAGGTTATTGCAATGTTGGGAAAGGAGAAGGATGGAAAGTTTCAGGAAAGTATTTTAGGAGATCCACCTAAAGCGAATATTTGAATTTTAAAAGCGTAATAAGGAAATATGGAGTTGGATATTTCTTCAAATACTGTATTATTAAGGCAGGATTTCATAAAGTCAGTTATTTTGTGAATGGAATTCAGCCATATGTATATGATTTATTGTCTATAGCCTTTAACCCATTCACTACAGCTAGTACATATATGGCCTCTAAATGTTTTCTGTTCACTGCAGCTGGTACACTTATGGATTCTTGATTTTAAAATTCTCATGTGAGGTATTGGTTAGTAAATTTTTGTGGTAATGTTGTTTGTCAACATTCCATTACATGTTACCATATAGTAAGTCAATTATTTTTGCTTTCTTTGCATTAGTTTCCCTCAAGATGTTAGAGAGGCCTGTACAATAACATCCCGTTGCTGCAGTAACAAGCACTGCCTAAGCTAGAGAAAATTCAGATTATTTTATGGATTTGCTAGATAACATTGTCTCCGATGAATTGATGCAGTGAACAGAAAAAACCTTTAAGAAGCCATATATGTGCCAGCTGTAGTAGCTAGGTTAAAGGATATGACAAACTGCAGGGGGCGTGTATACAATTATTAGGTTTCCCTCCATGTTCTGATGTAACTGAGTGCTAAAGTTCCGTTAAGAATTCTGATGTATCAATGTTTAAATAGGTAACTGAAAAATGCAAGTTGATTTTTCATTTTTTAGGTTTACGGTCAGCGAGTGTTAATAGATGCGTGAGCAGTTCTTTTGTTTGAGTTTACTGGTCTTATTGTAGTGATGAAATAATTCTAGTTTCAAGATTATGTTCAAAGTGACAGAGTAGTTGGAAAGTAGCTGTATTAATTAATAATTATATCGTTAATTTTACAAGTTACATTCTTTCACTTCATTACAAATGTAATGCGCATAAAATCAGGTCATTGTATTAGACACTTTAGAAATTTATTTTAAACTATCTACTAAAATTTATACTAAATCCAAGAACTTAATTACAGTATCTAATATAATTAGGTATACTAAGAAAAAATTTTGATGACAGGTCATTTGGTGTGTCACTTATTGAGTGATGCAAGTTCAAACAATTAAATGGTTGGCTACATGAGATGTCTGATTTTGGCAATTTAGATTCTTTAAGGAAGGTATTTATTTGTTTTGAATTGATGGACAAATAAAATAGTTTATATCAGCTTGGTCTATATTTCATACGAAAACATATTCTTTCTTTTAAATATTCCTTCTGACTTTATGCTTAAATTCCCAACATATTGAAACATCTGTACCAAAATAAATACCGTATTGCCCCTAATTAATGCCCCTGGGGCGTTTGCAAACTGTAAAGGGGGGGGGGCGCTAATTAGAGACTAATTGGGTCATATGATAATACCTCTATTATAAACATATATATCTTATAATAAGTGGTAGCAAACATAGCCTATTTATTTCTTACTTTGATATAAACATCAGTGCTCATTATCGCAATAAATATGGTAAGCATTGTTTATAAGTGTCAAACAATCCTGAGAATGGGTCCTGCCATGTACAGGTCCTTTGATTTGCACCACCAAAGCGTCTTTGAAGTTTGCTGCTACGGCGGGAAAAACGTGGCTTATGGGACATTTATCAGTTACCAGTAGTGATTGCTGGTCTCTGCTACGGGGGCAATACGGTAACAATTATTTATCTATAAAGTTAATACTTTTTTTAAAACACAATTTACATCAGTTTCATTCAAACAAGGAATACGAAAGAATCTTACTCAAAAAACATACCCTAGATCATGAAGGATGTACATAGTATAGTCTGGGGGAAAAATAAGATTAAAACCACTATTTGCATGTGAAGAAAGATAGTTACACCCAGTAGTGTCTGGTGTAGAAGAAAGATTACATTTCATATTGTCCAGTGAAGAGTAGCGATTACACCCAGTAAAAAATCGAACGATTACCATAAACTCGTTATTGTCCAGTGAAGAGTAACGATTACACCCACTAAAAAAATGAACGATTACCATAAACTCATTATATTTAACTAAGAAGTAATGCTCGTCTTGTACAACAAAAATGATTTTCATTAGGGGGTCCCATTATTGTTCACTGTCCCTGGACCCACCACTGCTTACTAGTAAAAAACGAACGATTACCATAAACTCATTATTGTTCGGAAAAGAAAAGTTACAGTAAGTATTTTCCACTGAAGAAGAAGCCTTATACTCAAGGAAGATGAAGATTACTCACAGGATTGCCCACGAAAATAAAATTGTGGAAACACATCTGTCGTCCAAGGAAGAGGAGTAATGGTTATACCTAATATTTGTCTAGAGAGGAAAGAAGTCATACCTATCATCGTTTCACGAAAGAAAAAAAAATATATACCCAGATTGTCTTGTGATGCTCGTCAGCAGTGGCGGATTAATGGGAGGGCACATGGTACTGCTGCCCAGGGCCACAACAATTGTTAGGCTAGGATACTGTATGTAAAGTGTTGTTGAAAGTATAAGGTTTTATGTTTCTTTTACATTGGGAGTGCTATTTGCAATTATGTTATAGTTATGAATAAAATTTTCGAGCAAGATTTATGTTGTTAAAATAGGATTAATAATCAAAATTGTACAATATACAAAATAAACAAACAATGGAATTTCATTATAAATGTACACACGTCTGTAGAACAAGGTCTGTATTTAACTATGAAATAATGCTTGTCTTGTACAACAAAAATAATATGCATTAGGGGGTCCCATTATTGTTCACTGTCCCAGGACCCACCACTATTTACCAGCAAATGTTCAAGTCAGCATTAACAAATGGGGGAGGGGGTATTCTAATTATATCTGATGTTGTTTAACAAAATCGAAAGGTAAATATTTAATATTCACGATACTACACATTGAAGGAGGTTATATCCCGTATGTGTATTATAAAATACTTTTAACGTCCACTGCATCGGTAAGAGTTCAAGAACAAAACAACTGCCCCCCAGCGGCATGTCTGTGGACTTACAACGCTAGAAACCGGGTGTCTATACCCGTGGTTGGCAGAGCACAGATACCCATTTGTGTAGCTTTGTGCTTAACTACAAATAAACAAATAAAATGGTGATGACTAGCTGCTTTCCCTCTAGTCTTACACAGCTAAATTAGGGAC